TGGTTGGCCCAAGGCGGTATTTTATTTTTGAGGAAAACGGCAGAACTCTGGTGTGTATTTTTGTTGAGCAAGCACAAGAAACAAAAGGATTGGCTTGCATGCATGCGCGCATGTACTGCTATAGCATGTTGCTAGCTAGCATACAATAATACTCCCTCTGTCTTATAATATAAGAACGACTTTTACAATAATGTAGTGTCAAAAATGATTTTATATTATAGGATGGAGGGAGTAGTATATAGTAAGTGTAAAATCAATCCTACAGCCGGAATATAGTAAGTGGTAGGTGGATATGGGCTGCTTCACCGACTATTGCTGACTTCCCCCAAAGAAAAAATGAATTATTGTTGAGGATGTTGCCGTCACCGGGGGGCGGCAGGTCGCTCGCCAAGAGAACGAGACGTCAAAACCACATTGTAGGCCACGATAGAATAGGGACGGCCCGAAATCGACGTGGCCGAACGGGCCACCACGCGCTGACGGAGCTGCACTGTTGCCGAAGCCGACGCCTTTGAGTGAATGAAATAATGAGAGAGAGAAGGAAGAAAGAGAGAGTTTTAGCACTTTTATAAATGAACATACGAATAACTAGTTGGCTAATCATTTTTATATGGACATAAACAACTATCTGGTTATATCTATGACTAGCATGTACGTACGGAAGCCTATAGCGTCATGATGTGATATGATACTCCCTCAATTCCACAATGTAGTGCGCATGCGCTTTCCGAGATTTAAATTTAACCAACGAGACCGACTGCAGCGGGAGCAAAAATTATGCCATTGAATTCGTACTGAAAGAGTGAATTCAGTGGTATAGTTTTTGTTTCCGCCGTAGTTGGTCTTGTTGTTTAAATTTATGGTTAAATTTAAATCTCGGAAAGCGCGGACGCACTACATTGTGAAATGGAGGGAGTACTCAATAATGTCAATCGTGAGGCAGGTCAAGGAATAGAAAACAAAGCATCCGCCAAAAAAAAGAGCACAAAGTGTGGATTTGTTATTTATTTTTGCGAGAAGTTTTTCGTGAATATATTGGTACAAACATAAACAATACTGAGAGTCTGAGAGAGACAGCTAGCTAGTTGAAGAGGGAAAAAGCTATAAGATAGACATCGCGTATAAAGCTAGCAGCGCAAGTGCGCGGATCACCCATGTTGCGCAAGTTGAATAAGCTGTGGTTGAATAAAGTGGGTGGTACTCTAAAAAAAAAGGAATAAAGTGGGTGGAATTACATGTATGGGTGCAATTTCGCACATCAAAATCCGGACATTTCTCTTTCACTAAAGTGAAATTATGGGCTCCAGAAGGTGGTGCTTTGCTTGCACCATCTGCTACGTTGGAGTTTGGCCTTTTGAGGTTCATGAGGTCGACACTTGTGTATGTTGAAAATCATGCGTATGTTACCACTAATAAAATTCTGTGGTCGACACTTGTGTATGCACTTAGTAGAGTCATTATCACCTTCTCGCACCCATATGTTTTGAAGAACACTCCAAAAGGAAAGGGGTTCAACCTTTATGTCTAGAGGACCCTCCATGGATATTTTTCCTTGGCCTGCTTGTCTTGTTGTAAGCAGCTACTGTTAGTTGTAAGCGGTATTTCATTGCGAGACCGACCGGTTTGCCACTTGTCTCCCCACAATTAAGAAGGGTCGATGTCAATCCTTTTTGTTGATCGATACTTTCATTCCATGTACTTTCTCTGTCACATAATGTAAGACGTTTTTTGACATTACACTAGTGTCAAAAAATGTTCTATATTATGGGACGGAAAGAGTAACAAACAACAGTGCAGTCTTTTGAGCAACCTATCAACCTTTACCACTTAAAGCAACAGAAAAGGTGGATGAGATTGCTCAATCTACACTTAATCATGTTAACATCTCAATGGCGGAGGTTCTTACCAACACAGATAAATTAGACAGCCAGCTGTCACCACATACCTCATGTGATATACGTTAGATCATGCAATATATTGTTATGTTAGATAAGGCCGGGCATAGACGCGGTCGGTCGGTCCAAGACGGTACTACCATATACTATATGTCGGGACTTTCTTCTTCTCGGCGTCACCGTCGACTGGACCAATGTCCAAAGCCAAGATGGTTTCACCGTCGACTGAAAACAGAAGTGTGGCATCGCACACCCCACACCACAGCACACGTACTGTTGCAGCAGCTAGCTTGAATATATTATGGGCTGCTCTGCTGCAGCAGCTTGAATGAATTATTGCTGAGGGTGCTGCCATCACGTCAGGTCCGCACTCCACAGGTCGCTCGCCAAGAGGAGGAGACGTCAAAACCACATTTGTGCGATAGAATAGAGACCGGCCGTGAATCGACCTGGGCGAACGCACCGCCGCTCGCTACTGGAGTTGCACTGTTGCCGAAGGCGACGCGGTGCCGGTGAGTGGAGGAAATAATGATAGAAAGAGAGAGTTTTGACATTTTTAAAACATGAACGTACGAATAAGTAGTTAGTTAATCATTTTAAATCGTACATATAAATAAATAGCTAATTATCTATAACTAGCATGTACGTACTGAAGCCTATCGCGTCGTGATGCCATGTGACATTAAATAACGTCAATCATGATTCATGAGGGAGGTCAAGGATGACAACGCAAAGTTCGGATGCGAGGCATAATGTTTAGATTTATTTAATTCTTGGTGAAACATTTTTCATGAATATATTGGTGGAAACAAATTAAATAGTACCAAGAGATAGTAAGTTGAAGAGCGAAAAAAAAAACTATAGGATAGATATTGTGTAGTAAAGCTAGCAGCGCAAGTGCGCGGATCACCCATCTAGCTCAAGCTGAATAAGGTGTGGTTGGATAAAGTGGGTGGGATTTTGCACATCAAAAGCTGGACATTTTTCTTTTGCTAAAGTGAAACTATATATGGACTCCAGAAGGTGGTGCTTTGCTTGCACGATCTGTTGCATTGGAGTCTAACCCTTTGATGTTCATGAGGTCGAAACTTGTGTATGTAAAAAATCATGCGTATACTACCATTAATAAAATTCGGAATCTACTCCCACCTTGTATAAATGCAATCAAATCTGCCAAGTAGACAAAAATATGATTAACAAGATAATTAATAGGAGGGAGCAGAATTTGATGACTCCATAAACAAACGATATTAGGCACACATACCTAAGCGAAAACATAATTTACTGCCCACAACTAATTAATAGAGTTGATCAAAATCGGACGTCCTTCAATGGAGCTTGCCTTTCCAACGCCTCAAATGTTTCTCTAAGCACTCTAGGACATGTTCTCACACCGTATTAGTGAGACATCGATAATGGATTGAATTCCTAAATGTTTAATCAGGAATTGGCTTTGTGTGCAACCAATTAGGTCAGTGTGTTGTGCATCCGCCTCTTTAGCTTCTCTGAAACATAACGACTCGGTTTAATGGAAGTTAATCTAGAGACCTGACATTTGCTCAAATCCGAAAGCAAGAGTTTCAGATTCCTAGCCTCATCAAGGTCAATGTTCCATAAAAACAGACATCTCATTGACTTTTAGCTTTTGAGGCTAGGATATCATTTGCATATGCTTTCGCATATGTACATGGGGATATCATTCTCATCCGTCGTAACTTATGAGATATCATCTGTTTGGGTCTCGCCGAGTGTGAAGTTCCCTCCATCTGAAGCCCCGAACAGAGACTTATAATATCCGGTGATATATCGTTTCAACTCCAACTCTGCCTGACCCACGATCTGTCTGGCATCCAGGTTAAAAATATGCTTCTTCCCATGTCGCCCATTGGTGACCATATGGAAACATGGTGTATTGTTATCACACTCAAAAAGGAATTGGGCTTTGGATCTTTGGTACCGCTTGATTTGCTCTTTTCACAATAGACGTGCAATCTGCTCATTGGATTGATTTTTTATATCAATCTCCTGATGAGACAAAGTGCATGTCTCGGTGATGTTATCGATGCCATCAAGAATATTGGTAAGGTGTTGCTTTTTTTACATACCACTGGTATGTTTCGCCCATCCAAATAGGAATTGCCTAGTAGCCACGGTTTAAAAATTCGATGAATAGGCGTCCGACAACGAAGTTAGAATAGGCATCCGACAACGGCGGGCCTTCCCATACATTCTTAATTAAGTTTACAAAGTCATCCCGTTGTAACCATCCTAATTCAAATTTGAATGGCCGGGGAGTAGCAGGGGAGCTAGTAGAGTTAGAATCGGGAATGAAGGGCACATGGTCAGAAAGTGTCTCAATATGCTCCGGGGAGCATGTACAGTCACGAGAGAAAACTTTAATTTCCATTCTGTGCAATCGTCACAACATTGTCAGCCTAACATATGTTGCGCATAGATCATGGAAGAGCAACAAACATGCATGTGATTGCTTTCCCGGTTGGCCAATCGAAACCTGAAAACAATAGGAATGGTCAATGGTTGCCGGGAGGAGTGCATGTGGGTTATCGCAAGATAAGAGAGAGACCAGTCCATGTCTAAAATAAGGCTACCGGCGAGACCTGTAAGTAAGATCACACCGACTAACAAGAAAAATATATCAGATGCCAAAAATAAGGACCATCACTTAGACTCCAGCACATCCCTTCTCCTTGGAAGCAAGCAAGATCATGGCTTACCTGTCAAAAATAACAGAGACCATCGCGTACACTCTAGCCCATCTTCTCCGTAGAAGCAAAAAAATAATGATTGTACTAACAAGTGCACCCTAACTACTTACCAGTGAAGCATTGGGTATGAGATTGTAAGAAAGCAAATCCGGTGCTTGGAAGTAGTAGAAGGAAGGACTAGGACGATGTGATCAGAACGGGTTCTTGTACTCAACTAATTGTCCCATCAGGAGGGAGGGGTCGACCAGATTGTAAGAGAAATGGTTACTTGGTTAGTGGAATAATGCCTGCGGTGCAGAATAGCACGAGGATAACATGCCCAACCGAAAGACAAGACCTTACCCTAGGTAGGCTTTGACTTTTGAGCCCTGCAGCGCACATGTATTGTGTGGAAGGAAGCCAAGCAACCATACGTTGTACCTGTATACGTCTGCAAACAAGCTACCTAGCTAGAGACGGAAGAGCCCATCCCACCCCGACCACCTCTCCCCATTTCAAAGTCGACATCCTCTTCTTCCCCCTCCCTCCCCCTCTCTATCGTCCATCAGCCAGGGCCGCCATGAACGGCAAGGGCGGAGACGGCGGGAGCGACCACGACGACATGGACATGCGGAAGCCGCTGCTGGTGAACACGGGGAGCTGGTACAAGATGGGGTCGAGCCTCACGGCGGGGAGCTCCTCCATGGCCATCATCTGCGAGTCCCACGTCTCCGCCTTGCTCTGCACGCTCATCGTCGCGCTCGGTCCAATCCAGTTCGGCTTCACCGGCGGCTTCTCCTCCCCGACGCAGGACGCCATCACCCGCGACCTCGGCCTCTCCATCTCCGAGGTCATCATCATCCTTAATTCCATCGCCCGGCCGTCTTTGTTTACTCTAGTGCCATCTGTTGTTGTTGTCGCCGGCGGCCGGGCTTGGCCCTGGCCCAGGACCCAGTGGCTGACGCTGCGCTAGCTGCAGTTCTCGGTGTTCGGCTCGCTCTCCAACATCGGCGCCATGGTGGGCGCCATCGCCAGCGGCCAGATGGTGGAGCACGTCGGCCACAAAGGGGTCAGATTCTTTTTACTTACCGTGTCCGTCTTTTTCTACGCACGTAGTATTTCAAATTTTCAATGCGAGATCGTCCTGTTTGTCTCAAACAAGTTAAGAACAACCCTAGCAGAGTCGCCGTATATGCCTTGGTCTTCATAATACTCCTTTCGTCTGAAAAAACTTATCCCAAAGTTGTCCTTCAAATGAATGTATCTAGCACTAACTTTGTGCTAGATACATCCATTTTAAGGACAAGTTTGGGACAAGTTTTTTCATCTTTTACTATTAGATATATCTATTTAAGAGACAAATTTTTCCAGACGGAAGGAGTACTAACTACTAATATGAAGTTTCGAGGGGAGCAAATAACAACGCCCTCTCAACACGTATTATCATGAAAAAATGGCGGAAGGACGCTCGCACCCATTTGTTTCGAAGGACGCTCCGAAAAGAGGCGTGTTCAACCTTGGTATTTAGAGCATGCTCCATAGATATTTTTCCTTGGCCTGTTTTCTACGCAGCCATAGTATTGTTGGTCGCAAGCAGTATTCATTGCGAGATTGACCGGTTTGCGACTTGTCCCCTCAAAATTAAAGAAGGGTCAATGTCATTCCCTTTAGTTGATAGATACTCCCATCCCATGTACTAGTACTAGTAGTAACAAATAGCAATACACTCTTGCGGGCAATCCATCTAGGAGTACGTATTTTTTACCATTTAGAGCAGCAGCAGAAATAACAAAATGGATGAGATCTATCATGCTAACGGCGGAGATTCTTATATCAATCAACAACCCAAATAAATTATGTCTTGTGGGCATCACCGTCGCCTAGTTCCGTGTCCAAGACGGTCTCACGAGCTGCACCGGAAACACGAGTGTGGCATGCATGCGTACGCGCGCCCCACACCAAACACGAGTGTGGCATGCATGCGTACGCGCGCCCCACACGTACTGCTGCAGCATGTTACTACCACTGGGCTCCCAATTAATCCCACACCCTACTGTGCTGCACTAGCTGGTAGATACTATTCCTTCCGTTCCTAAATATTTGTCTTTTTAGAGATTTTAAATGGACATCATATACGGATGTACATAGACATATTTTAGGATGTAGATTCACTCATTTTGCTTCGCATGTAGTCACTTGTTAAAATCTGCAGAAAGATAAATATTTAGGAACGAAGGGAGTAGTAGGTTGCTGCAGCGCCAATGATTATTCCTCCTAAAAAATTTTAGTTGAATTATTGCCTGAGGAGGATATCAATCACTGAGGATCCGCAGTGTACGGTGGAGTAGGACGGGCCGAGATCGACATGCATGGGCGACTTGGCCGGCCAGCGGCCACCGCTGCCGGAGTTGCACTGTTGCCGACGGCGACGCGGTGAGGGAAGGAAATAATGCATTTAAAAAATGAAAATACATACGTACAAACAACCATAGTTGGTTATATCTAGTACAGCTTTTAGCATTTTTAATGAACATAGTACAAGCAACTGGTTGGTTATATAATTAAGGTGCGGGCCATAATGTTCAGATTTAATTCTTGGCCAAGCATTTCTCATGAAATGATTGGTGGAGACATAAGCAGGTGATAGTACCAAGTTGAAGAGAAAAAAAAACTAGAAAATGGAGAAAGGGCTTTTGTTCTCAGAAATGCTAAAAATCTGACATTGGATTTTTAGATGACCAGATTTGCCATGCGAAAACAGATAATATTCACATACTTGTGTGTACGACTTCCATGTTCTTACAGTAAAAGTTGCCATGTAGCGTGAAAAACTGACCAGAAAATTATCATGCTGCAGCGATTAGTTGCCATGTGTTCGATCGGGATACAACGTACCTGGTCATAGCCTTTCGTTAGATTTCTATTGAAGTCCTTTGTTCTCGATGCTATCCCTATCCATAAGAGCCTACCCGCAACCCAACTTGGTAAGTCTAATCGTGCAAGTGGGAGGAATTTTGCACATCAAAAGTTGGCCACTTTTCCTTTGGCTAAAGCGAGATTATGGGCTCCACAAGGTGGTCATTTGCTTCCACGATCCGCTACATGAGTTTCACCTGTAATTAGGTTCATGAGGTTAACACTTATGTATGCTGAAAATCATGTGTAAGCTACTCCCTCCGTCTCATAATATAAGAATATTTTTGTCACTAGTATAGTGTTAAAAACGTTCTTATATTTTGGGACAAAGGGAGTACTACGGAGTACTAAATAAAATTAAGAATCTACTCAATGATAAGGGTGACATAGATGGGTCTACCACAATTAATATAGCATACATAAAAAACAAAACTAGCATGCCATCTACAACTAGATAAGCCTAGTTTAAAAAAAAACTAGACAACAACCATATCGCATACAAAATAATCGGTCGCAAGTTGGAATTTCTTATGATGGTGTGGTTGAGGAAGCAGTGGATGAAGACGAAGCTGAGTAAGAAGATGGAGTAGTAGTGCCGAGCACTTTCTATGACTTGGCTACCCATGTAGACTGCCGATCGTCAGGTAACATCCAGAGTCTACTGTTGTGTCCTCGTCTTCCTTGAGGGAGATGAGCACAGTGAGAGCGATGTTGGTTCATGGATGTGAATGAGGCACGATTTTACTTGCCTAAGTTTTAGTAACAACTCTCTAGCAGCACGATTTTACTTGCCTAAGTTTTAGTAACTGCCCCGGAGACTTCTTCGTGTGTGCTACGTAATAATCATATGAGGGCATGCGTGTTTATGCAATCATTAGTATGCGTGACAATTTATATGTGGGTAAAGCAAAACGATGACCTAAAAAAGGATTTGCTGGCACTTAGCAATAGCCGCACATCGCAAGGCTGGACTAAACTTCCCCTATGCCAAAATTCCGCAAGCACACCTTTGACTTCAAACCGTGCATCTAACGGTATATGTATCATACTGCAGTCAAGGATTGGAATAAATAGACGAAGGTCTTTCATTGTTGGTGGAGTATTTCGCAGAAAACCATTACAATTGGGGTCGCCTTTGTACAAAACCTTAATTGACTATCATCTTTTTTTCAAAAAAAATATCAGTTTGCAGACTTTGTGCTTCAGAAACGGCGTCATAGAGCAGTTAGCGAGACATTGATGCTTCTACCGGAAAAAACTATAGTTGGGCATGGCAATCTCTTTTTGGCAGAAAAATGTAACCGGTGGTTTTATGCAAAATCCACCCTAAATGTGCAGTTTTTTTCCTCAAAATACCCCCCAACTAGAAATTGAATCATTTGATAATTTGCCCCTTTCAAAATGACTGGGGTTCGGATCCACCCTTCACTGACAGAATCCCAGGACAAGGACGACGTGGTCGCCGCTGCCGATGCAGTGCGGGGCAGGAACCGCAGGATTGCTCCTCCTGACAGCAGCCAGCCACAGCCGCTCCACCGCTCGTGTGCCGGAGCTCGCTGCGGTGACGAGGGGGCGTGATTTCCGCTCAGCAGGATGCCCTCGTCCGGGTGTCACCCGGTGTCCCTCCCAGGCGCTGGCGCGCACGCGAGCTGTTCGTGAGAATGCCTAACGGCTATCTGGCCTTGGCCGTCGTCGCCCCTTGCGTCAGAAAGAACATCACACACCACAGACCGTTCAGTGAGCAATCAGTGCTTCTTGCAAAAAGGATTATGGTAGACCGGTGGTTTTTCGCCCGAAAAATTAAAGTTCTTTTCTGCAAAGTCGATCCCAGTCGCGCTGGTTTATTGCTAAATTCTCTTATTGCCGTGTTAAACTTCAGTATGTTGGTCGTATCTTCGCAATGTTTCAGTAGCTGACCGAACTAATGATCTTCTCTTGAGCTCTAACAAAGCTTGTGAATTGATTTTTCAGGCGTTGATGATCGCTGCTGTTCCTAACATCCTCGGCTGGCTCGCCATCTCCTTGGCAAAAGTACGACAATGCCTTTTTTCCTGACCTTAGTTTCACCGTTTGCTGCTTCTGAACTTGACACTTGTTGGTGTTTGTTTTACAGGACACTACGTTTCTGTATACGGGGCGATTGCTTGAAGGATTTGGTGTTGGTATCATATCCTACACGGTTCGTTTAGCAGCACTCTGTGCCTGCTTATTCTTTGCATACAAGATCTATGCACGCAATCTATCTGCTTATACAGGATGTCACTATTGTGGGAGCAAAGTTGCTCATCCCATTGTGGGCTAGTTAACATGCTTAGTCTTGATCTGTGATTTATACAGGTGCCTGTATACATAGCAGAGATTTCTCCTCGTAACAAGAGGGGCGCTCTAGGCTGTGTGAACCCGGTAGGCCTATCCTCCCAAGGATCTTGTCTTATTCTCACAAAGACCTATTAGCTTGTCTATGCTGGAGTGGACTCATTGTTCTTTTGTTCATTCTGCAGTTGTCTGTAACACTTGGGATGGTGTTGGCCTATGTGCTCGGCATGCTTGTTCCTTGGAGGATGCTTGCGCTGATAGGTAACATGGCTAAGTGCCGACGTGTTACTGAACTTTGTTGTTTTCACTCTCAGTTTTCACTTAACCTCTAATATTGAGGCTAAAAATATCGGTAACAGTAAATGCCATGTTGACAAATATGACTAGAATTCGTAGATATCTAGGCAAACATTTCCGTTTAAGCTTTTGAAGGAAAAGTTACTGTGTCAGTAATCTATGCTGATTTCGCTAGTACTTTATGGGCTTAAACGAATGTGTATGCTTCTGGTTTCTGAACCTCTGACTATTTCTGATTCAAATCTCTGGGCTGTCTTTCTTCTAGGAACCTTGCCATGCACAATATTGATACCTGGCCTACTCTTCATTCCAGAATCTCCAAGATGGCTGGTCTGTATACGCAAATGTATACAAAGTGCTGCATCATTCTGAATTTTTTATTAACCACTCATGTGCATCAATCTCCAGGCAAAGATGAACAAGATGGATGATTTCGAAGCCTCTTTACAAGTTTTGAGAGGATCTGAGACCGACATCACCTCAGAAGTGAATGATATAAAGGCAAGCACCTGCCTTTTTTTTCTAGACTAACTAACTACAAATCTTTCTATGTGATCACCAATGTTTGCTTTAACATTATGCAGACAGCGGTAGCATCAGCAAACAAAATGACGGCAATTCGTTTCCAAGAGTTAAACCAAAAGAAATTCCGCATGCCCTTGATAGTAATTTCCTTGACTCGCTGTTTTATTTCATACCAAAATTCGCAATTGCATTTTGTAATCGTGATTGTGGTGCAACTTGGCAGCTAGGAATTGGCCTGCTTGTACTACAACAGCTAAGTGGGATCAACGCCATACTGTTTTATGCAGGCAGCATCTTCAAAGCTGCAGGCAAGCTGTACAATTTGGTCATTAAATTTCCTTCAGTGCAATATTATGGTGTTATATTATAGTCAATTTTAGCTTCTATATTTAACATGAAAAGCTCTTCAGGTCTTACAAACAGCAACTTGGCCGCATGTGGACTTGGAGCTATTGCGGTGCGTAACTTGATATATATCTTTTCTTGTCTCTTAGTAGTTCACATTAAGATGCTGACAGCATTTATAATCAGCTTCTTGCCACTGGAGCTACAACCTGGTTGCTAGACAGAGCTGGCCGACGGATCCTACTTATTGTAACTTTCCTCCTCTCTTTGAAACCAGTTTGTTACTGTAGTTGTCTGTAACTACTCCCTCCATCCCAAAATTCTTGTCTTACATTTGTCTAGATACGGATGTACCTAATACTAAAACATGACTTGATACATCCGCATTTGGACAAATCTAAGACAAGAATTTTGGGACGGAGGGAGTATAATTTAGCTCTCACTTCAACTTCCAGATCTCTTCTGCTGGGATGACCCTAAGCCTTCTTGCAATTGCCGTCATATTTTTTCTCAAGGTATGTTCAGGTTTCTTTACTATAGGATACCGGTATAAATAAAATACATAATACATACACCACACCCTTATAATAGTCTATTAAGTGGATCGGGGTTTTATCTTTTTGATTGGTGATATTATCACCAGGCCTCTTCTGCCGAATATTTTTCTTATATTATCATCATTTATGTGTTCCAGGACAACGTTCCGCAAGATTCTGACATGTATTACATATTAAGCATGGTCTCCTTGTTTGCTATTGTGGTATGTCCATCCGCCAACTAGATTGTTTGGTCTGAAAATTTACATAGCAAATCCACGAGCTGTGCCTGCGATATTAACCTGACACTTGTTCAGGCTTATGTGATCACCTTCTCCTTCGGTATGGGTGCCATTCCATGGGTCATAATGTCTGAGGTAATATAGTGAATCTGCACACTGCGTATAGAACCATAGCTCATAATTAATGTGGTTTAGGCATGTCACTGGTGCATTCACATAACCATACTGCTGGACTTTTTATGTGTTTGTAGATCCTGCCGGTTAGCATCAAGAGCCTGGCGGGAAGCTTCGCAACGCTCGCCAACTGGCTGACCTCCTTTGGGATAACAATGACAGCAAACTTGCTGCTCAGCTGGAGTGCTGGAGGTTCACACTGATCTTCCACTCTTCCCTCGAGTAGGATTATGGACCCACGGATCTGACGGAGATCATTTCTGTTTGTTTACGATCTCGACAGGTACCTTTGCGTGCTACACGCTCGTGAGCTCTTTCACGCTCATGTTCATCATCCTCTGGGTGCCGGAGACCAAGGGAAGAACTCTCGAGGAGATACAGTGGTCGTTCCGGTGAGCTCAGTCGGTAGTTTTCGCGGTATATATGTCGGAATTATTCTTCAAGCCGGGCATCGTCTTCTTTTTACTAGTCCGATTGCTCGAAGAAGGCCAATTATACAAAAGAAAAGAAAAACTTTGTCGTCTGTATATTCCTGTACAGCCATTGTTTCAGATGACTCTGTAAAGGGGGCATGTAATTATTATGCTCTGTTTTCTTCTCTGGGTACCGTGCTGGCGCAGCTGGTGGTCAGCTCCCACTGTGATATACCATGTAAAAGAAATAAAACATTGACTAACAAGAAAATGTCATATGCCTTAGATAAGGACCTTTATGCGGACGTGGAGTTTCTGCACCCGAGCTCATATGAGCTCGGGTGAACAGTAAAATCGAAAAAATTTCAAAAATTTCCAAATTTTTTTTAGTAGAAACATTGACAAAAGTTTTAAGTGCTTGCAAAAATTCGTCATGAAATCACATTTCTAGAAAGCGTGGCAAAAAAAACAAAATCGGTACTCCGAAAATGCTACTTTCAAAAGCATTTTGGAGGCTGAATTTATTTTTTTTGCCACGCCTTACAGGAATGTGATTTCATGATGAATTTTTGCAAGCACTTAGAACTTTTGTCAATGTTTCTCTGAGAATTTTTTTGGAATTTTTTGAATTTTTTTTTCCGATTTTACTGTTCACCGAGCTCAAATGAGCTCGGGAGCAGAAAGGCACTTTCGCCTTTATGCCTTCATTTTCCGTAGAAGCAAGTGAGACCACCCGGTGCACTCTATCCCTTCCTTCTCCGTAGAAGCAAGAGAGCACTGCTATATAATATTACCTCTATTCCGGCGCTCGAGATCCGCATCCATGTAGCTTGGTACATTTAGAGTAGTTTTAACTAAGTTTGATATAATATATCTGAATCTAAGTATAAATGGTTTGAATCCGGAAACAAAGTGGGGGCGAGCATTAGGGGTGTCCACGGAAAAAATGGGGGTGTCCATTTTGGGGATAGCCTTGAAGATGCCCTTAGCCTACAATTGATCCTACACAATGCGCAGCAATAAATATACCGTTGAAGCTTCAATGGATGCCGATGATGTTAACATGGACGATCACTGAGGGTCCGCAGGTCGCTCGCCAAGAGAACAAGGCACCAAGCCACAATGTATGGGGTGATGGTAAAATAGATACAAGTGGAGATCGACAACGGCGAAATGGTGACTATTGGCTGAGTTCCACGGTATATGAAGGCAATGGGGGAGACCTCCATGTGAGAGTTTTAATCATATTTTCTTCGACATCGATTGGCCCCCTCAGTGGGCACTTGGCGGCGTTGGTGACCTTGTTGATGCCGCTTGGTGTGCTTTGATCTACTCGTGTATATGGGGTATGTCCGGTTGCATCGTGATGTCCACGTTAGGACTATGAGCATGTGCAGTTATTGAGGCAAGATGCTCTGGTTTGGCTCATGCACTTTTTCCTTGAAAGTGGGGGTCGCAGTACATGACGACTCAAGTTTGGTGTTGCTTTTGAATACAGGGTCTCGATCTCTGGAGTTAAACTCTAGGCGTGCCTAGCTCTGGTTGTTCGTAGTGCTTCACATCATTTCCTTCTCAAAGACATTGTCTAGAGTTTGCTCGAACTCCCTCTTCAGGCTGAAAACATCATGATGCAGCCTTCATGGTTGGATCTGGCCATGGTAGCGCTCGCACGTTATTCCTTTCTTGAAGGCGTCGTTGTTGAAGCGCTTTTCTCATAGTCCGTATGCTATCATCGGTGGTGGTTTACGTTGATGGTTGTTACTGTGTGTTGGAGTTCACTTTGATATGAGTATCGGAGGTCTCATGTTTCTATTTCCTTTGTGTGTTTTAGTGTTGGTAGTTGCTAAAAATATGTGTACGCTATGGTGTCAACTAACCCCACAACTTTTCTATTGCACCCCTTTGGTTTTCTAAATTTCTATATTAATCCTTGCAACTTCAGATTGATGCCACAACTTACAAATGACCCTACAGATTTCTTTCTGGTGCTGCCACTGGGTGTTGGCTTTGTGTCTGTCATGTAGTCTGGTTCTCCTTTGCAAGTAGATGAGCCTAAGGCAAAAATATTCTTATAATCCCGAGCTCAAATGCTCCTGCTATGAATAATAAAATCAAGAATAGATAGGAAGACAATTAACTTTGTTCATGCGTGCAAAATTTCCCTATGAAATCATATTCATGGAGGTCTAGCTGGACCAAAATAACAATACAGTACTCCAAAATGCTTTCAAAACTCGTCTTTTTGGAGCATCTTTTTGTTGTTACCCAGAGCATTAGGAATGTTTTCTCTTCACAAAAATTTGCACGTATGTAGAACATTCAACAATGTTTGTTGTAAAAAAAAATCCATTTTTTGAATATTTTTCTGTTGATTTTACTGTTCATGAGGGTGCATTTGAGCTCGAGAATAGAATCTCTATGTCCAACATAAGGATGAAAAATGAACTCCCCACTAAACAACATGGTCAGTGTATGGACGGCCCAAACATAAGTTGGGCATAGATCATGGAGAAAACATGCATATGGTTGGTTTTTCAACTGGGTAATCAAAATCTAGAAACTATGGGAATGGTCAATGATGGTTGCCAGGAGAAGTCCATTTGGGTTCTCACAGGATAGAGATAAGTCCATTCATGGCCATTATTAATTTATGAAACTCCATATTAATGCAAATTTCTTCCCACGTCCGTCTGTGGACAGGGGACCAGTCCGCAGATATGGATATGGAAGGGCGACATCCAACCGTATCATGTATATATCTGTCAGTGAATTCAAATTCAAATGTACTCCGACCCGATCCACACAGCGCACAGAATCACATGCCCGGTCATAATTAAAAAGCGGCAAATATGCTTAGTTTTTCCATGCCTGAATCCAAAAGAATATCAGTCCGACAGTTAGTGCATTTCTGCCCTGCCGGGCCAGCAATCCCATCTAGCTGCTCCCTGATCAAGGAGGTGTTGTCGCCGCCACATAAGCATCCTCCATGTCCGCCTCTGCCGCGTCCTAATAGTCAGCCACCGCCAACGCATCTTTTTGCCGTTGCAACATCTGGAAGAGGACGAATTGCACGATCATTCTTGCGTCGGCATACAAAGAGTCGACATTCAAGGTCAACATCTTGGTGTCCTCTACATAGGCGGTGATCTTCACCCTCTTTTCCTCGAACGCGGCCTTCCTCTCTTCCATAATGGTCTGATGTCTACTATGCAACCTTTCTTCTTGTAGACGTTGTTGGGCCTCCAAGTACAGAGTTCTGTAGGACATTAGCAAATTTCCTTTAAGTGGATGGCCTAAGGTTTATCAATCCGCGGGAGGCGTAGGATGAAGATGGTCTCTCTCAAACAACCCTGCAACCAAATAACAAAGAGTCTCTTTTGTCCCAACACACCCAATACAATGGTAAATTGTATAGGTGCAATAGTTCGTCAAAGAGATGGTTATACAAGTGCAATATGAATGGTAGATATAGATTTTTGTAATCTGAAATTATAAAAACAGCAAGGTAGCAAGTAACAAAAGTGAGCGAAAACGGTATTGCAATGCTTGGAAACAAGGCCTAGGATGCATACTTTCACTAGTGCAAGTTCTCTCAACAATGATAACATAATTAGATCATATAACAGTCCCTCAACTTGCAACAAAGAGTCACTCCAAAGTCACTAATAGCGGAGAACAAACAAAGAGATTATTCTAGGGTATGAAACCACCTCAAAGTTATTCTTTCCGATCAATCCATTGGGCTATTCCTGTAAGTGTCACAAACAACCCTAGAGTTCATAGTAAAATAACACCTTAAGACACACATCAACCAAAACCCTAATGTCACCTAGATACTCCAATGTCACCTCAAGTATCCGTGGGTTTGATTATACGATATGCATCACACAATTTCAGATTCATTTATTCAAACCAACACAAAGAACTTCATAGAGTGCCCCAAAGTTTCTACCGGAGAGTCAAGACGAAAACGTGTGCTAACCCCTATGCAAAAGTTCACAAGGTCACTTAACCCGCAAGTTGATCACCAAAACATACATCAAGTGGATCACGTGAATATCCCATTATCACCACACAGATAAGCACATGCAAGACATATATCAAGTGTTCTCAAATCCTTAAAGACTCAACCCGATAAGATAACTTCAAAGGGAAAACTCAATCCATTACAAGAAGGTAGAGGGGGAGAAAGATCATAAGATCCAACTATAATAGCAAAGCTCGCGGTACATCAAAATCGTGCCAAATCAAGAACACGAGAGAGAGAGAGAGAGAGATCAAACACATAGTTACTGGTACATACCCTCAACTCTGAGGGTGAACTACTCCCTCCTCGTCATGGAGAGCGCCAGGATGATGAAGATGGCCACCGGTGATTGATCCCCCCTCTGACAGGGTGCCGAAACAGGGTCCTGATTGGTTTTTGGTAGCTACAGATGCTTGCGGAGGCGGAACTCCGGATCTTGGTTTCTTTTCGGGGGTTTCTGTATTTATAGGAATTTTTGGCGTTGGTTTCACGTCAGGGGGGGGGGGTCTCCGACTCAGCCACGAGGTAGGGGGCGCGCCTAGGGGGTAGGGCGCGCCCTCCACCCTCGTGGTTGACTCAGGACTCTTCTGGCCCAACTCTTTTGCTTCAGGGGCTTCTTCTGGTCCATCAAAAATCACGTAAATTTTCAGCTCTTTTGGACTCCGTTTGATATTCCTTTTCTGTAAATATCAAAAACAAGGAAAAATAGAAACTGGCACTGGGCTCTAGGTTAATAGAATATAAATGCATATAAAACATCCAAAACAGATAATGTAATATCATGGAACAATACAAAATTATAGATATGTTGGAGGCGTATCAAGCATCCCCAAGCTTAATTCCTGCTCATCCTCGAGTAGGTAAATGATAAAAACAGAATTTTTTATGTGGAATGCTACCTAACATATTTATCCATGTAATTCTCTTTATTGTGGCATGAATGTTTAGATCCGAAT